TGTTACACCGTTTTCTTCAAAGAATTATGGCCCGACAATATACCTTGTTGAAACTGCGCATCACACCGTGACTTATTCTGGGTTCCGTCTTGTGGATTATTTCTGCATTTGATTTTTACAATTCTATTTAGATCAAAATTGGTCTCATCAGACATAAACAGGCAATTTATCAAGTTATTATGTTCTTCGGCCATTTCAAACATTTTTTGGCGAAATTCCAAGCGAATAACTAATTCCAAGTTGCGAGTCTAAACTCTTAGATTTGATTGAATTGACAATTCATTTACACTTGAATGTGTCGCCAAAATTTAGCCTGAATTCTCTTCGGACGGAAAGGACGGGCTGCAAAGCATGGCATTTTGTATTTAAATTAAGCACCAATGAAAGTATCAGAATAAGAGTTTGCACGAACAGCCCTGCAAGATGTAGTACCTTTCAACTAAAAATGGTCTATAACTTTTCAATTCTTCAGTCATCAAATTTTTGGACCTCAGTAACTATGGTTGAGTTTTACTGAAAATGACAGTAAATATCTGAGATATCTAAGGATATTCAAAGGCCATGCCATTTAAGAATTTTCAGACTTCCGTTTGATTTCATGAAAATTTTAGTTATTTTAGTTGACTTTATGCCGTATATATCGATCAATAAAATTGCGTAGAAACAAATTCCCAAGCCTACTTTATATTCATACCCAAGGTAAATGACATTAGTTGGGCCCTAGGGGCGTGGCATCTTACGCCAAAAAATGGTCAAAACCTGGCAATAGCTTTTCAAGATTCCGAATATGCGATATTTTCTTAAAAATATGACTAAATCTCTTAGATATAGTATTGAAATTCAGAGAGAATCCTTACCCGATAATACTCTGCACGTGCGCCAAAACTTCCTTCAGACTCAGTATACTTATTTTAATGATATTCGAACCGACTTGATATCAAGATTAGGCCTTAGAATGCATCTTTTTCTAATATCAGTGTATCCTTGTGCTTAAAATGGATTAAATCTGGTGAATACTTTCTCTACCTCCCATATACCCAATATAAGGATTTCAAACGTCTGGTGATGTGAAGTATTTTATTGAAAGTCAGCGGACATCTTTTTCTGGTAATAGTATGTCGTGATGCCATTAAGGGATAAAATTGGATCATTACTACCATAGCCCTATATACCCAATATAAAAATTTTAAAGTATATATATCCTTTAACTTAATCAGGTGGATTTTAATATGAAGATCTCGAACATGAAACTAAGTAATATACTAAGTAACGTAATGAGATACCAAATACATATGATATTAATCCTTTCAGAATTTAGTCGAATAATTATTGTTGGACATTTTTTACCCCTGGCTTTGATCCCTTCAAATTGCGAGAATATAAAATGTGCTAAATGCATTTCATTACTGAATCTTAAATTTTAATTTAATTATGGTATTTATACTATAAATACTTATTTATACATACGTATAAATGTGTGATGTAAATAGAGATTTCTTAATTTGACATGTGGAAAATATGAGAGTTCGTATTCTAATTTTAACAAAAGACCGAGGATTAAATTGTTTTTTTTTTTTTCAACGAAACATCTATGTATTGTATAATTATACTATACATATGTATGAAGATCAAAAATAGAACCAAATTACATTTTCTACAAGCGGAATGAATTCAAAATGACTTGTTATTTCTTTCAACAAAAATTTACTCTTTCAATTTGCAATTTATATACACAATTATGGAAGCAAATGTTTACTTTCAACATACTCAGCACCAGTACAAACAAAATAATGAGTATTTAGTGAAAATGCTTTCCAAATCCGGTATATGAAAGCTCACATAAATTTGATCCGACCTTATGATCCTCATTGAGTTTCCCCCCTCCACTTGCCATTGATCAAAAATTCCTTCAAAATGTATGCCTTTACTAATTTATTAGATTCCTCCACAAGCAGCGCGGCGGAAATTCCCCTTTAAGATTGAGGTGAGGTGAAATATCAAACGATGGGAAGACGTAATCCGTCAATCAACGCCCAGCTAAGCTGAGCAAAATGCAGTACAGTACAGTACATTTGCTATATGCGTATGTGTATCTATTAAACTCAATTTACATAAGTATGTGCATGTAGATATATGCAAGTATGGCAGAATCCGCCAATAGAATATCTAGAAAAAGTTGCGTTGCAGTTGTATTGGTGTGACAATGCGATGGTGTTGCTCCACCCATTAGTAGCGAGATCGATATTCATGGATTGGCGCTGATCATTTTACAATGGAGCAAGCCTTGCTCTCTCGACTGACTCACTGCTATGAACAGTGGGTGTGAGAAGCGTTATGGTAGAGTCGCTTTGATTCTATCCCGTTTTGCCTTCAATGATTTTGCGCTTTATCTTACCACACAAGTGTGTCACTGCAATACTAGATTGTTTTTGGACATCATTTGGAGAGCGTAGAAGTTGAAGATCATAAAAAAGTGTGGAGAAGAAATTAATTCCAAGCAAACATTGAACAACGAATGAAAAGCAATGAAAATATGTTGTTGCCTCCGATGCGCGTGTGTTATATATATTTATGTAGGGTATAGATCGCCAACAGTGGAGTAAAACGAAACCGATACTGTTAATTAAACATGTTAGAAAAATACATGTTAAATAAATGGTAGAAAAGCATGTTTCTATAAAATTTTCAAATTTCATTAGTCTATTATTTTTAATTTAGAACATACATACATTTACATATAATTGTATAACTCTACTAATATACTCTTGCAACATGTTGATACGGTTGTGTGTCTTTTCCTCCGTCCATATAACACAATTTTAAATTCCATCTGATTCTTTCATTTTCCAGTATACTTGTACCTATCAATGTATCCGGATAAAGCTTTGCACAAATAGAGCCATAGGCATTTTATCTTACCATAGAGCCTAAGGCTGACTTTCTACCGAAAATATCGGCCAATGTGTTAGATATATTATTAAAATTAGGAGAGAAACCTTTTTTCATAATAATATGTTTGTATGTCAAAAATGGGTTGAATCGGATCAATAGTTCTTATAGCCCTCATATACCTAATATAAAGATTTTCGAACTTCCAAATGATTTTATACCACATAAGTATGTCGGTCAATGTGGGAAATATTTTAATAAAATTGAGAGAGCGTGTTTTTCCAATAACTGTGTATCTTTGTGTCTAAAGTGGATAAAATTGGGCGGAAATTTGCCTTAGCCCCCATATAACTGATATTCATGGTATTGCTTGAAATAAGTTCTCAAGTATACCTGAGCAATGTCAATTTCTCTGCCCACATTCACGATTTCATCCAACAATGAAGTAGAACACTTTTACTACATTTTTAATATTACCAACACCTAAAGGTTTTTAGCCGGCTTTGACCCTTGCAAGTAGTAAGAGTATGAAATATTCGGTTACAACCGGACTTAGCCTTCCTTTACTTGTTTAAAAAAAAAAAATTTATTAATTCTTCTACGATTACGTACCTAAAATACTTTCTTCATATCTTGTATATAATACTTATAACAGGCATGTTGAAAAGTTTATATAAATTTAAAGAAAATACAGTAACTCAGCGAATTTTTCCAGCTATCATTCTCTTGAAGTGTGAGAACAGGAAAAAGTTGCACGAAGACAGATCCGGAGAATTAATGCGTAAGCAATTCAAAACCCAATTTATGTAACTTCGAAATTTTCCTTCATTTGTGATGCCGTTTATAGGTCAATTATGAGCTTGTAAATAGAAGTTCACACTCAGGTACTCTACCGGGAATAGCGTGGAATATTCTTTCGTGGCCAATCAGAGCTACTGAGCAATTACACAAGCGAGCTACTTCTTAATATTACAGCTGAAATCGATTATTTATCAATGAATATTTGAGTTTTTAAAGTAAGCAGAAAAGGGATATATATGTATGATCCCCTTTAGTGAAAATGATGCCAAAAAGTACCATATATTATATGTATACAAGTATGTAAGTAAATTTATGTGATAATTATACGCAAAAAATAAAAATAAAACTAAACTAAACTAAAAAACTACAGTATTTAAATATTTATTTAAATATGTAGATTTGAATTACACAGAAATTTGTTGAAACAAATTTGATTAAATTTTTACATAAATTTCTACCATTAGGGCAGTCAAATTGTATGTCTACGACTAGAAATGGGTCTAAACCCATTGAATAAACATCCAACTCTATAATCTTGAATGCCTTTATAATTTTAAAAAATGAAACTGGCTAAAATAGGAAGATAAAATTAGGGCGTGAGGCAATTGCTTCATCACAGAACATATAATAATTGCAAATGGGATAGAAAAATATCATCACGATAAAATTTGATTCCACAAAATTGAAGGGTTAAAAAATTTCTCACAAGAGTATTCGATTGATGTTTTTTCCAGATTGTAATGAATGAACTATAGGTACTCAAACTCGAGGCTACTTTTTGCTGAATATATTTCTGAAAAGTCATAAACATTACTCAATTGGGGTTCTTATAATCAATTACTAAGATAACATTTTGTTATTTATTTTCAATTCAAGCAGTTAATGAATGTATCGAAACAAAAAGCCTTTGATCATCTCAGCTTGCTCTGTACATAGGCACATTCATCAAGTTTATGCTCGATTTAATTGACTATTATTGACACACGCGCTTTTTCCCAAACAAATAACCGGAACGCTCCACTGTATGCCCCATAGTAATCGATTTGTTTACATGATTTCCGCTCAATCAATTTGTTCTGGCACGGTGCGCGATCGCACGCGGATGCTGGAGGCATTTTAGTGCGGCATGACGACTCTTACCAATCGGTGCGAACGCTAATCCGTGAACGAGTTAACGAAGGAAATTCGTGCGACCACCGAGGCAAGTAACTAAAGATTGCATTATAATTAAATAAAAAGAAAAACTTCGGCAAATCGGTGTAAGTTTACTCACGAGTCAATAGAAAAATGTCAGTTATTTAACGTCGAAAATGGGAGTTTTAGAAATAAATCAGCGGCTAAACACGATTATGGAGTCAGCGCCAGCGAATTTAACAATTGAAAAGCCCGTCGCCAGTGATGTGCGCAAGTGCTCGGAAAGCATTGAAGATATTCATGTTGAGTTCACGAAATCTTTAGAAATCGACAAAAATAACGGTGAAAATAGTAATCCGTCGAAGCTACCCCTCTCAGTAGGTGAAACAAAGATACAACTCAGTTTTAGTGTTGATCGTTTATTAAATATCGAAGAAGCTCATTCAAGTGGTAGTAGTAGTGCAAATCAGGAGTCGAATGAAGTTTGTGAAAGTGGAAAAAAATGCAACACCAGCGAAATGAAGTGTTTTGAGGGTGCGAATATGTGTGCATATGGTTCGTGTACGGATCCAAATTGTGCGGCTCTGTTAGGCGCTGCAAATGATATGCAACTCGACAATACCTTGCGAAATTTTAAAAAATATTCCGTGTCGGCGCTCACCAATGAGATGCAAGAGAAGTTTTTTCGACAAATGCCGTCTCTGGCGCCGCCATATTTGGATTTTAAAGCGATCGTGCGACCGACACCGATTCGGGTGGTCAATAATGGGCGTGAGACTGGTAAGTGAACTTGCAGACTGCGAAAAGAAATTTTTAAATAACAAAAGAGGTTGAGCTGGCATCGAATTCGGATATATTTTTCCTCTCAGATATATACTTTTTATATGAAATCGGATTGACACCAAGAGGAAAATTATGTTTATTGTCTTCAAGAGTAACGCAAATTTGTTGTCATCTTTCAGCACATTCACGAACTTGTCCTAAGATAACATACAACAAGTAAGGAAAGGTTATGTTCGGGTGTAATCGAAAATTTTGTACTCTTGCAACTTGCAAAGATCAAAGTCTAGGAAATTACTTCAGGATTTAGCAAAATTTCATATAAAAAAAAACAACATTCATTATTCGAGCAAGTTCGTCAATTAGCAAGTTTTGACCCGATTTTAACATTTTTGGCACAGAGATGCACCCTTAGGAGAAAAACACGTTCACTCAATTTAATAAAGATAACTCAGATATTGGCCATATATGCACCATATATCGGTGTATAAAATTTACCGAAAGTTTGAAAATATTTATATTTGGTATATGAGGACTAAAGGAAGAGTTGACCCGATATTACTAATTTTTGGCAAAGGGTATTTTTCATTATCGAATTTCAATACTAGAACTCACAAACTGACCGATATGTTGGGCAAAAAATCAGTCATATGCTCTGGTGTCCATATATTAGGTACAGTGACAAGAAATCCATAATTTTGCATGAAATTGAATGCTTTATATTATTATTTTTCATATTCAGCCTTATTCAAGTGGTTCCAAACGAAATGTGCAATGTTTAGGTCCTGGACAACCGTAATCGATGTTTGGACTACTAACTCTTATTGAAGAAAAACTGTAAAATATAGCTATTTTCTCTTTGCCATCTCGAACAAAACTAAATCAACCACAAAACTGTAGGAGAAACTTTTTGAGTACGAAATGTCATCTTTCTAACACCATCTAACCGAACCCGATCTGACTTATACAACGCGAGATACAGATAAATAACGCTATCTATTGGAAAATAAGGAATTTTTACTACACCTAATATTTGGTGTCAAAGTCTTGAATATTTATAGTCTGATTCGATTTTTGGGCGTTAGATAAGATACCTCGAGGACACTATTTTTGCAGAGTTTTACTCTACACTAAGTTCGGACTTTGATTTCATAAAGAATGAGCTAAAATAATAATTTTTGCTAGTTCTCATACTCCCATTAACTTGTAACCAAAGATACCTCGCCATTTGGCCATTTGACTATATAGATCACAACATTTACTTTCCGCTGGCTCCTTAAGCTGACTCTTCATGCTCTAATCGGAAAAACTAATTCATCATATTTTTGATAAATTCGCGTACGCATAGGATTAGGATGACCCTCAGTAGTAATTCAACCCCTTTTGTTTCAGATTTCGAAACGAAAAAATCAATTTTTATGCTGATTGCAAAAACAACTTGATTGTGTTGAATAATATTTGGTAATCCTTTCCGATGTTTCGAAAATCCAGTAGCTGAGATATTTAGGAAGTACCTTAAAAACTAAACATGTGTAATTACATTAAATACAATTTATAAAGAGAAGAAGAGAAAGAACACACTTTTCTTAAATTTATATGTTAATCGAATTTACAAATTATTTTTGGTAAGATCAGAACTTATCCGACTGTTTTATTGTGAAATTATAGTTACACAGAATCAGCAATGATACGCCACTTCATCGGGTTTGTATATCATCACTGTCCGTCAACTGATTTACGCAGAAAAGCTTGACTAATGACAAGAGAAATGCTTTGATCAAGTTCCAATTGTAATTACCATTTCAGAGAGTCGACGGACACATGTCAAGAGAAAAATTCAATGAAATATAAAGTGAAAATCCGTTTGCTGCTGTTATCTGATGATATCTCTTCACTTCTGTTGAAGAATTTCATTTGTTTGTAATATGCGATTGTTAACCTGTGACCATATTGCACACGCCATCTCTGTCCGTGGATGAACCCATCATCCGGGAGTAAACAGTTGGCAAGTGTTTTTGACGCAAACAATTCTCGTTGCTGCCACAAGTTGTGACTTCCTTTATTTCATAATTCCTGTGTCCATTTGCAAACAAAACCCAAGCGAAGAGGGGAGTTACAACGGTTGTTTATGAGATCAGTGAACATTTGAAAGAGAATTATGCAAACAAAGCAATGTTTCAATGGACGCTAAGAATTAGTACTGGGCGGATGGAAAAATAAATTTTCAAATCATAATTGTAGCAGTTTATTGTATTTCTATTATTTATTTACACATAAACAGGCAATGCGTAAATATTTTTGGCTCTTATTTTTTTTGTTTGGATAGTGTGTGTAAATTATGCCCCCAATGAGTGGTACGAAAATGAGCTGGATGAGCTTACAAAATATAGACAAACGTGTATACATATGCATGTGAATAAAGGAAAAACATTTTACTATGTACTAATTGCCGATTGAAACATTTATGCCGATCATTATTAAATTTTTCTATTGAAAACTGCAGTTATATATTAAAATATTTTAATGTACATTATACACTTAGTGGGTTTGGAACTAGAATTTTCATTATGATGCAATAAACAATATTCAATACATACAAGTAGATGTTGTCTAGAAAACTGTATTGCTAGTGGTATTGCCTTTGGAGACTGCATATTGCATATGTGAAGTAATAGTTGTCTAAATAATTGTCTTGAAAATAAGTGAACAGTTGCCTAAATTATTATGTTGACAATTATTGCTGGCAACAAACTGCCATTTTGGATGTTTGTCAACCATGTTTTCATTTCTGCCAATAAGGTGGAGCGGCACATTTTCCGTCGCATGATGTCAAAACATTATGACATTTTGCCATATTCATTGGCTTAATTTTAACTTTCTTAATAGCAAAGTTTAAAAAAGTTGTTGGGCACTTACTTTATTAGTAGTAAATTGCACTTTATGAACCAATTTATTTTTTTAGGAAAAAGTTTAAAATATTTTATGGTTATTTTTTTCATGCTTTTTAGACACAATAAAAAATTCAAATTAGATTCATATAGAAGAGAAACAGATATAACATACCATATAATATAAGTAACTTCCAATCGTTTACTTATATTAGGTTTACTAAAAAAAATCCATTGTTTTTACATTAAATTGAAGGTTTGATAAAGCGTCGTTAAAATTTTCCGATTTAGGTGAAATGTGCATCGTTTTGTTTGATATGCTATTGGCATTTTGAAGATAATTTCATAATATCACTGTCATAAGAAAATCCGTCCCTATTGGCAAAAAACTGGGACAGACGAGTTTCATAAGCATCTCTTGAGGTGAGTTTTTCAACAGCAAAATCATTCAGCATAGACAGGAACAGATACTAATCAGTTGATGTGAAATCGAAAATATAAGGTTGAAGGATAAGAACTGGCGATTTCTGGGCGATTTTTTACTTCAGAAGAGCCTTTTATTTACAGTAAATTAATAGTTTGTTCGTAGGTGAGCAGCTGATAGTAAATTATTCCCTGCCAATCCCCTCAAACACGCAGCAAACCCTTCGTTTGCGCACACGTTGCTTCCGCTTGAAGAAATGCTTCAGAAATGGAACGATTTTGGTACGATTCAGCAATGATAACGGAGCATATCGCATCTGTAACATCAAAATTACGGGAGCGGAATCGACCAAACCAAAATTGCACGTGATTGGCTGCTAAACGTAGCTGTGTGAGATTTTTTAACTGTCACGTAAGGTAATCAAGTAAATATTATGAATGGTATCAAATTTGATTCAAATTGTTCCAGCAGTTGTTGAGATATGGGAGATTTACTAAAAGTGGGTGATATCTTGATCATTGTTAATTTTAAACCGACCTTTAATGTTAAACTTAATGCTTCTAATGTTTTTTGGACAGTTATCGCATTTTTAGTAGTTTTGAATATAATCTTTTTATGGGATGTTGGAATGGTTAAAATCCGATTTCACTAAGTGTGGATTATTCAGCGTGAGTTATTTGTAACATATGTAGAGTAAACCTATTATGGAGCGGAGCCATGTCAACTTTTACAATATTTTTAAACCTCCCTACTGCGATCCTCTATACCAAAGTTAAGTTTTGTAGCAAGATTTCTTATTATACCCTGGACAGGGTATATTAAGTTTGCCACGAAGTTTGTAACACCCAGAAGGAAACGTCAGCGACCATATAAAATAAATACCTATGTACATAAATGATCAACATGACGAGCTGAGGTGATTTAGCCATGCCCGTTTGTCTGTATATATACAAACTAGTCCCTCAGTTTTTAAGCTATCGATCTTAAAATTTTCACCTGTCTTTTTCTCACTAAGAAGCTGCTCATTTGTCGGAACGGCTGATATCGGATCACTATAGCATATAGCTGCCATACAAACTGAACAATCGTTATCAAGTGCTTGTATGGGAAACTTTTTCATTTGACGATATATGTATCTCCACGGAATTAGGCAGGAGTTGTTGTTTAAGGCAACAATATATTCTTCACAGAAATTGTTCAGATCGGATTACTATATCATATAGCTGCCATATACAATAAATTGAACGATTGGAATCAAGTTCTTGTAAGAAGCCTTTGTATTTGTGAAGGGTATTATAGCTTCGGTGCAACCGAAGTTAACGTTTTTTCCTTTTTGCTTTACACTTATAATTCCAACTTACCCAGAGAGGCTTGAATTATCGGGTCGGCATTTTTATACTCTCGCAACATTTTACTACAGCTAAAACTAACAGCGAGACGAGTGGAAATCCGGGTGACTGCTTATCATGATGAAACCATTCACGGTTTCGATGAAATTGATTTCTGACTCGGTGAATGTTCAATTATTCATCCTTCCCCTTCTCCAAATGGGCCGATTTTGCAATTTAAAGGTTCTAATAACGTTAACCGCTTTTGATGCCTTTCTCTTTTCAAGATAGTCGATATACATTATACCCTACTCATTTCAAAATAGAGATGCCATAAATTTGCGAGCTGACTCTCGTGGT